ACAATTTTAAAACAATTGTATTTGAAAACAATAACCTGGAAAATTCATTACTGAGACAGTGACAGACAAGAATCTTTATCAAGGGAAAGGTATCAGGAGAGATTTAGGAATGAGGGTCTTTTTTATCTGACATCTCAAATAATTGACTGACTAATGACCATACTTTGCTACAACTTAAAGTGATTAATAAAAAGCACTTTGAAGTTAGATTTTTATGGGCAATTAGCAAATTTTGTTTTATCTCATGAATAAGTGTTCATATCAGAAATTACATTTAACTGATGTTGTTAAAACTTTCCTGAAAGAGCTTTAAAGAGTAATTAGGAAATTAAAATTTAATTTTAAAAAAGTCACCTCATCTTTGTTGATAAGCAGAGTGTGTTTTATTCCTTTCTCCATTGTTCTGAAGTGAGACCAAAGGCATCATCTGTCAGGTGTGGCTTACTGACCGATGGCTTCAGGATCTGTGTGGTTCTTCAGAATCTTGTGTTGTGCCCCTTAAAGCAATAATGAAGCTATAAAAGCCATTTACAAATTGTGCTTAGGGTAATTTTGAGGAACTAAAAGAAATTTTAAGTACGCTTAATAACTAGATACTTGCATTTAGCAGTTCTACTCAGCATAATATGAGCTAAGCATTGTGGGTTTTTTTTGGGGGGTGGGTGAGGAATAGAGTATATATCAATAGTGGTAAATTCTGGAACTGCCCATGGTCAGGATGATCATCTTTCTACAACAAAAAGTTGTGCTAAAGAAAACGATTCTTTTAGAAATGTACTCCTTTCGGGGCAGCTAGGTGGCGCAGTAGATAGAGCTTTGGCCTTGGAGTCAGGAGGATCTGAGTTCAAATACAGCCTCAGACACATGACACTTATTAGCTGTGTGACCCTGGGCAAGTCATTTAAGCCCAATTGCCTCACTAAAAAAAAAAAGAAAGAAAGAAATGTACTCCTTTCAGGAGAAAGGTGAGGGACCATGTGGAATATTGCCTAGGCTGTCTAGTGTAGTTGCTTTGGTCTTACTTAACCATTTTGCCTTTGTTACAAAGGAGTACTCCTTGAGTATGGTGGGGTGGAGCATATCTGGAAATGACTGTTATAAAAACAAAGGGCATCAATAAAATGTATTATTTTAAAAATAAAGAAGTAAAAAGAAAGTAGTTTTTTTTGTAGAAATTAGAGTGTGTTTATAATTTTACACTCAATTTTTCACCTTCCTGTAGAACAGCGAGCCTTAACCCTTTTTGTGACTACCTTTGGCAGTCTGATCAAGCTTGTGGACCCTCCTACTCAGAATGCCTTCAAATTCATAAGACAAAATACATAGTTTAATTTTAATATAATTGATTTTCTTTGTAATTTTGTCAAAATATTAAATGAATTCATGGGTCTCTAGGTTAAGAACCTTTGCTTTTAGTTTTAGAAGAAGACTCAGAATTAATCATATTGTTATACTAAATTTCTTTAATTCTATAAATTAAACGAAAGCTATAATTTCATGTATTTTGAATTTTTTAAAAAAAGTAATGGAGTTCAGTTTGTTACCATAAATAGTAACTTTGTAAAGCAAAGCTTCTTTCCATTAGTTATGTGAAACACATGTGTTTTGAGTACTTTCTAGTTAGAAATGAGTAAAGCTGGAGATATTAAAATATCTGGAGCATTTTCAGCTGTCCCCTCCTCCCAAATAAAAAAGAGGGAGAATACAAATAATGATTTTTAAGAAATTGTATAAAGCACACTAGTGTTTCTAACACTCTCCTTCCTTTTTTGGACACAACCTAATTGATATTCATCTGTTTGAATTGTGGCCATATAGCCAAAAATAATTTCACTAGGTTAGATTCATATTTTCCTTATTTTAGATTATTGACAAGAGAATCAATTGCTTGAGGTTCATTGGATCCACAGGGTCATAGATGTTGAGATGGAGGAGACCATAAGAGCTTTCTAGTTTAACTTTGTCATTTTATAGATGAGGAAACCAAATGATTGAAAGAAATTAAATGCTTTGCCCAAGGCCACAAAGGTAGTGACAGAGATTGGATTTGAACTTAGGTCCTCTGCCTTCAAATCCAGTGGTCTTTAATACTGTACCACCATTCTTTTCAAAGGTCCTAAGACAGTTACTTTGGAAGCAATGATATCAGAACAGCCGACTGATTAACTGAATACATTGATGAAACCAGTTATCTGCTATTACGTAGACAGAGTTTTAATTAGCACAGGACAAACAGGGCTTTATCCCAAACTGCCAACATGTAGAAGGTACTGATAGCACTTGTACTCTTTCTTTAGAAGAAACAAGCTTAGAACTTGGTTAACAGGGATAATCATTTAAAGCATGAAGGTACCAGATAGTATGCATCTCTATTCTTCTACCCCTACCCACCAACAGCCGAACCTCGATGGAGCTCTTTCCCAGCCCCATTTATGTTGCTTGTTATCTTGGTAGTGGTGTTCCCAGAAGTAACCTCATGATATCCCAGTGTCTTTCTCTTTTCTTCCCCTTGAGTCCTAATGTCCAAAGTATCTCCCTATGATTCTGCTCTGATGAATTAGATTCGTCTTAATAAGTTGATTTGAGGGTGTCTTCCCTGATATTTGCCCTGGCATGTTTTGTGGCATTTGCCTGAACCACAGGTTCTAGAATTACTTGTTATGGTCTGACAAATAGAGAAAACTCTTGGTTGGCATCTTCCTTTGAAGTTGGTGGTTTTGGCACTGTGTAAACATAGACTGAATATTTCGATTTTTAAAAATCATATTTTATTTCCTCCCTAAATTATATATAAAACCAATTTTTTTGCATTCATTTCTTTTTTTAAAGTTTTGAGTTCCAAATTCTTCCCTTTCTCCCTCCCTTCCCTCCTCTCTGAGATGGCAAGCAATCTGATATAGGTTATACATGTGCAGTCTCATAAAACATATTTCCATATCAATCATTTTGTGGAAGTAAACTTGAACAAAAGAAAGAAAGAGAATGCTTTGGTATTCTGTATTCAAACACCATCACTTCTTTTTCTGGAGGTGGATAGCATTTTTCATCATGAGTCCTTTGAATTATTGTCTTGAATTATTGTATTGATGAGAATGGCTCAACCATTCACAGTTGTTCATTGTGCGATATTGCTGTTACTGTTATAATGTTTTCTAGTTCTACTTACTTCACTCTGCATCAGTTCATGTAAGTCTTTCCAGATTTTTCTGAAATCATCCTTCTTGACATTTTTTATAGCACAATACTATTCCATTACAATAATATACCATAACTTGTTCAACCATTTCCCAATTGAAGGGTATTCCCTCAAATTCCAGTTCTTAGCCACAATAAAAAGAGCTGTATTCTATAAATATTTTAATGTAAATAGGTCCTTCCCCTCCCTCCTCCCCTCTTTTTTTTGGTGAGGCAGTTGGGGTTAGGTGACTTGCTCAAGGTCCCACAGCTGGTACGTGTCAAGTGTTTGGTCTGAGGTCACACTTGAACTCAGGTCCTCCTGACTTCAGGGCCAGTGCTTTATCCACTGCACCAACTAGCTGCCCCTCCCCTCCCCCCTTTTAAAAAAGTCTCTTCAGGAGTAGTGGTATTGCTGGGTCAAAGGGTATGCATACTTTTTATAGCACTTTGGGCGTAATTCCAAATTATTCTCCAGAGTGGTTGGATCAGTTCACAACTTCACCAGTTCACTACAGTATATTAGTGTCCCAGTTTTCCCACATCCCCTCCAACATTTATCATTTTCCTTTTCTGTCATATTAGCCAATCTGATAGGTGTGTGGTGGTACCTCAGTTATTTTAATTTGCATTTTTCTAATCAGTAGTAATTTAGAGGCATTTTTTCATATGAGTCTAGATAACTGTGATTTCTTTGTCTGGAAACTACCTCTTAATATCTTTTGACCATTTATCAATTGAAGAATGATGTGTATTCTTATAAATTTGACTTAGTTCTCTATATATTTGAGAAATGAGGCCTTTATCAGAGATACTGGCTGTAAAATTTTCCCTCTAGTTTTCTGCTTTCCTTCTAATTTTAGTTGCATTGATTTTGTTTGTGCAAAACCTTTTAAATTTAATATAATCAAAATTATCCATTTTACATTTTGTAATACTCTCTATATCTTGTTTGCTCTTGAATTCTTTCCATATCCATAAATCTGACAGATAAACTAATTCATGCTCCCCTAATATTTAGAATTTTTGAAAACTTCCTTTAAAATAAGGATATGTGTGTGCTTTAATATAAACAGGGACCAATTAATATAACTTAATATTAATCATATCTCCCATTAAAGTAGTGCTTTATGGTTGAAACACATTTTCCACTTCACAGTCCTGTGAAATACATAATGTAAGTATTATCACCCCCATTTTATAGATAAGAAAACTGAGACTCATAAAGATAAAACTTGCTTGTCATCATGTAACTAGTTAGGTGAGCATAATTAGTAAGTATCAGAGGCAGGAAAATTGAGTCTTGTAAAGACAAAACTACTAGCTTTTCATGTAACTAGAAGGGTAGCATAATTAGTAATTGTCAGAGTTAGTATTTATTAAGTGCTTACTGTGTGTCAGGTACATTACTAAGTGCTGAGGGTACAAATACAAGCAAACAAAACAGTCTCTGTCCTTATGGAGTTTCCATTCTGATGGGGTAGGGGAGACAACACGTATAGGTGTACTGGAAAGGGAGAGGGTGGCGGATTATAGTACTGGGGCATGGTTCGGAGTTGGTGGCCAGGGAGAGGTGTTGAGGTCTGGTTCCAGGCCAGATAAGGCAATAGGTTTCTGGTGGGGTAGAGACGGTCGGAGAGTTTGGGTCACATTAAGGAGACAGTGGGAAGTGGCCATATGGAGTCCACGTGCTCTCCTCCTATACCAAGCTGGACTCTGGTAGCATTTATCTGTATTTTGTATGTGTCCTTCTGGGTGTTTTATTAACACATTACATAAAATGATGTTCCATGTATCCGAATGAGAATGGTCTGTTTCTGTTTCAGCTCCAGTTAGCTTCTGTTGAAGCCGCGGATTGGTTTTTGGAGCCTCAACTTAGGGAACTTCCTTCAAGAGAAGCTCAGCTTACAAGTCTCCAGAGTACTACTGAGTTTGATATTCTTGTTATAGGCGGGGGAGCAACAGGAGCTGGCTGTGCATTAGATGCTGTTACTAGAGGTAAGGCCTAACATAGGTGGGGATAAACTAAGTATCTATTTGGTTTCTTCACAAACCATAATTTGCATATGTTAAAAGTACTTATGGTGCTGTAAAATCATGGCTCAGACATTTAATGACTGTGTGGCCCTGAGCAAGTCACTTAACACTGTTTGCCTCAGTTTCCTCATCTGTAAAATGAGCTGGAGAAGAAAACCCCTAAAGGGGTCACAGGGAGTTGGGCACAATTGAAAATGACTAAAGAACAAAAGGACATTTTGGATAGACATTGAATGGTGAGTGAGCTGGGATTACTATCATTTAGAATAATAATAGTATTGATAATACCTAATATTTATATAGTGGTTACTATGTGCCAGGCACTGTGCTAAGCACTTTACAATTATTATCTCATTTAATCTTCACAGCAACCATGGGGGAAGGGTTGGGAGTGAGGGAGAGAATGTAGATATGATTATCCCCATTTTACATATATGAGGAAACTGAGGCAAACAGATGAAGTCAATTGCCTAGGGTCACACAGTAATTTAAGTGTCTTGGGCCACATTTGAACTCAAGTCTTCCTGACTCCAGGTCCAATGCTCTATACACTACACCACTTAGTCATTCCTAGAAGAATAGAATAGACCGCATTTCAGGAACAATTTGTTTTCTCTAAATAGTTTGTCTTAGGGACACTATATGGCTGTGAATTATTGAACATCACAATCTCAGAAGAACCAAAATTGTAAGTAACTCACAAGATGATAGAAAGACATGTGGTGGGCACTAAAAGGCTGCAGCATATACCAATGATGAGTAGTGTATCAGAAATGGTAGGAAAGACATTAGTGACAATTAAGGCCAAAAAAAGTATGTGCTACCCATTTAGTAAGAATAAATGATGACATGTAGTTACAGTTTCTAGTATACTGAATAGATTCTCTGTGGAGTACTTGTGGAAAGATCTGGTAATGAACTACCATAATGAGACAGCTTGGAGAAGTTGTATTCTGTATTGTGGAAGGGGTACCTATCCTGAGGAGGATTACCCACACTGATGAGGTCAAAGATTCATCTGAGTTGTTACTACTGATCATAGTGAAGAGTGCTAATGTGAGAGGTAGCTGGAATCAAGCCTGTCTTATTTATCGGGTAAAGAGAGATCTTTTAACAAAGTTGAAAAGCAATAGATATCTCAAGTTCCTTGTCCTTTTAGGGAGACAGTGCGTAGGATGTTGTCTTCATATTTGGGTTTAGCACCCCCCCCCATTTATTTAATTGTGTCAGATCTTGGCAAGCCTCAATTTTTTTTCATCTATAGTATAGGGATAAAAAGGAAGATCTGGGTTCAAGTATTGACTCGGATACAGACTGTATCAGTCAATAAACATTAAACACCTACTATGTGCCAGGCACTGTGCTAAGTGCTGGGGAGACGGAGAAAGGCAAAAGGCAGTCCCTGCCTTCAAGGAACTCGAAATCTAATGGGGAGAGACAACATGCAAAAAACTGTGTACAAACAAACTATATGGAGGATACACTGACTTCTTTTCCATTTTGTTAGACCTTCATATACATATAGGTATAAGGAACATCTTGGATGGAATACATAGGAAATAATCAACAAAGGGAAGATACTAGAATTGAGAGAGATTACAAAAGCCTTCCTTCACTATGGATGTGGACTGATTGCTTAACCTTAAATCAAAGAGAAGATTCCAATTCAATGTGCATTGATAGAGGAAATTCTTTATGTTAATGAAAGCACAGATCTGGTTCCACTTCCCTCTAACTACTTCTCCTTCCTCCCAGCCAATGATAATAATAATAATAAAGATATTAACTTACACTATTATCTCACAGGTGATTGTGAGGAAAACACTTTTTAACTGTAAGAGATCTTATAAATGTGAGCTTGTGACTCCATAAGGGTGCTTTTTTTTTTAAACTTATTTGGGTCATGATCCCACAGTAACTGAATAAGCAATTTTTGAGTTACTGTGACTTCAAAGTTTGTCACCCTGTGGCCAACTTTGTACTAACTCTTTCTGAACTGTCCTAGGCTAGTCCTTAGATGAGAGGGATGTGCAGTCCATCCCCAAACTGTTAGAGAAAGCTGTTAAGCTTGATGGGATCTGATAGAGCCTTTGTTCCAATCACTACCATTCTTCAGTCACTCAGGCTTGTAACCTTGATGTTATTCTTGACTCCTTACTTTGTCATAGCTGCACATATCCAATCTCTTGTCAAACCTTGTTTTTTTTTTTAAATCTTCATATATGTGGCTTTCCTTCCACTTCTTCAGCTGCTGCCCTGATGGAGGCCTTTATTACCTCACACCTTGTGGTTGGTCTCCTTTCCTTAGATTTGTTGTCACTCTAACCCATCTTCTTCTCAGCCTGCCAAAATGATTTTTCTGAAGTGCCGGCCTGACTGTCATCTTTCTGTTCAAGAAACTCAAATGGATCCCTCTTACCTCTGGGATCAAATATAAAAAGCTCTTTTCAGCATTTAAATTCCTTCACAACCTGGCCCCTTCTTCCCTTTCCAGTGTTCTTACACTTGATTCTCCTTAGCATTCTCTATAGTCCAGTAATACTGATTCACTTGATGCTCCTTGTATCCGGCACCTCATCTCCTGCCTTTGTGCCTTCTCATTGGCTGTCCCCAGTGCAGACAATTGTGCAGATAGGTGGGGCAGTGGATGGAGTAACAGGCCTGGAGTCAAGGAGGACTCATTTTCCTGAGTTCCAATCTGGGTTCTCACACTTACACACTTAATCCTGTTTGCCTCAATTTCCTCATTTGTAAAATGAGCTGGAGAAGGAGATGCCAAACCACTCTGGTATCTTTGCCAAGAAAACTCCAAATGGGGTCACAAAGAATCAGACATGACTGAAATGACTGAACAATAACAACAATGTATGGAATACTCTCCTTCCTCTCCCCTACCTCCGGCTCTTAGCACAATCCCTGGCACATTGTGCTTTCGGTTTGTTTGTTTTGTTTTTGTTTTTTGGTTGGGCAATGGAGATTAAGTGACTTACCCAGGGTCATACAGCTAGTAACTGTTATGTGTCTGAGGCCGGATTTGAACTCAGGTCCTCCTGAATCCAGAGCTGGTACTTTATCCACTGCGCCACCTAGCTGCCCCACGTTGTGCTTTTTGACTTGATTGCCTATCTATCCTCAAGTCTTAACTCAAATACTATCTTCTGCAAAAGGCCTTTCTGCCTCCCTCCTACCCCTTCTCCCACCTCACACACTTTCCCTCTGAGATTACTTTCCATTAGCACTGTACGTAACTTTTATGTACATGGTGATTTGACTGTTGTCTCCCCCATTAGAATGTGGAGACTTTTGGAGGACAAGTACCATATGTTTATCTTTCTTTATGTCCCTAAGCCTTAACATAGTGCCTGTAACATAGCACTTAATGGATGCTTGTAGACTGACTTAATGTTGAATATCCTAGAATTTACCTCTGTACCATTAAGAAGTATCAGAGTAGGATTTTGTGGAAGGTAAACCATTCCTTGGTTACTCTGTAGTTCTTCTCTGTTATATCCTTTTTCATCCTTTAGTATCACAAGATCTGTGATTTCATTAGTGTAGATGCACTGTTCCCTGATATGTAAATTGTACCCCTTCTACGCTTTCTATGAATTGCTGGAATACTGAAGAATTTCAGTCTATACCTACCCCAACCCCTAGTACTCCCCAACACACCTGGTTACTAAACTTCTGGTGATGACTCTCTCCAAACTTAACCGGCTTGTGTGTCTTGGGGTGACAACCCCACAGTCAGTGGAGTTGTTGAGAAGCTTTTCCAGCTTAGTAGTACCTACCGAATTTTTACTCTACTGATAGAGCCTTCAGGAAAGCAAGGTCATAGCCATACCATATTGAGATACTAAAGTAGGATTTTGTTAGAGTCAGACATCATAGCATAATACTTTTTGAGTTTTAAAGCTCCCCAAAGTTGTCTAATTTAAGCTCTGCATTTTACATTTGAGAAAACTGAGACTTGCCTAGGCTAAGTGATTTGTGCAAGGTCACAAAGTTAATTTGAGTGAAAAGAACCTTGGGTGAATGACTTCAGCTTTATTTACTTCCTTGTTTGTAGAATGCAACTGATTAGTCAGAAAGACCAATCATGAGAAGCAAAGCTGTTAACATTATGCAGTCCTTAGAACATAAATCAAGTCCCTTAAATCCGAAACTTGATTCTTCATGTGATAATTTACTGAACTTGTATAATAATTTATTAAATTAATAAATTAAAATTTATTAAGTTATTAAACATAATTTGTTAAGCCACTGTGTGCTCCACTGGAATCTGTTCATTGGGAAGAAGACATAACTAGATGGCGCAGTGGATGGAGTACTGGGCATGAAGTCAGGAAGGTTGAAGTTCAAATCCGGACTCTGATACTGTGTGACTCCTGGGAATGTAACTTAACCTCTGCCTACCTCAGTTTTCTTATCTGTAAAAGGGGGGTAATAGTAGCATTAATCTCCCAGAGTTGAAATAATATTTTTAAAATACTTCACAAGCTATAAAATGCTATATAAATAAATATGAGGATGGCCCCTAGCATGTTGAGTCAACTTTCTATGGTGAATTTTTGGTAGGATGTAAATGAGAGTCATAAAGGATAGGTAAGGAAATAAGGATGGGTTTTGATTCACAGTGGAGTAAATGCTGACATGGAATATAACACTCATATTGATGAGCCATTGGAGTAATTTGTTAAATAAATGTTACAACAAACCCTAAAACCTGTGCAGAACTGTTTTTGAAGGAGTGAATAAATTATAGAGATCTCTCTTAAGTTATTTTTAATGAACATAATGTTGGGAGACTTGAGGGATTTTTGTTCAGAGTTACCTTGAAAGTATTATCACTCTATATGCTGCATTGGTCATGTGGTGAATAATTCTGTGTGTGGATTTTAAAAGTTGTGCTTGTAATTAGTAATTTCTAAGGAAAAGGATATGCATTTTAATAGCTTAAG